TGTCTTGTCTTGGGTTTTTGGCTTTGTTTGCATGCCTTGTTTTATCTTGTTTAATTGGCTTAGCACCTTTTGTAACATGATTTTCAATGCTTACCTTGCATGCCATTAGTCCATGTTATGCCTCTTTCAAGTGTGCTTGAGAGTCGCCCTTTTGTGCTTGAGTGTTAGCCTTTTAACATGTGCATGTGTGTATGTGTGTTTTGTCTTCATTTCATAGCACTTATGGCCACTGTTTTGGGCCTAATTCGAGCTGCCCAAATCATGTTTAAGTCCATCCTTTGCTTACTTGCATGCTTACCTTGCATGTTGTTTGTATGCTTGCATGTACATCTTGCATTCCCATGTTGCACCCTTAGCTTGCATGCCTAGGTTGCATTGCATCTAGCATGCATGCCTTGTTCCTTGATCTAGTGATAGGAATTGGGCTTTGGATTGTTGGTTTGCATTGCATTTAACATTAAAATGTGCACACTTGGTCCTTCGGGCCATCACGCATGGAAATGCGCGATTGATGGTCCGAGAACCAATGAGCGTATCCCTTTGAGTCATTAACATGATAAGGGACATGGTTGGTGCATACATTGTTTGAATTGCATTGCCATACTCTGCCTTGTCCTCTGCTGCTGTCGATTGCAGGTTCTGCAGGCATTCTCTGCCGATTGGCAGTGTTCAGTGCCGACCGGCATTCCCTCTTAGGCCGATATCTCCACCAACAGCAGGTGACCATATACCACTGCCGGTGGATATTCTACTCAGCCGGTGGTGTCTCCCAGTGTCCAGGGAAGCAATTCTGAGACTTTGACAGTCTTCAGAGGAGTATAGCAGGGAAAACAAAGGCAGCTCATGTATGGCAGTGTACTTCCGAGCAGAACCGAGCATGCATCGCATTGGGCTCTTTTCTCGAAGCGGCTTATCTGTTTATCTTTCCTAGCTTAGTTAATTTGTTAACTAATTAGGTAATTTGTAATAATTAATTAGCTAGGATAGTTAATTCATTATTCGAACTGTATTATTCTTTTGGTCCCTCCGAGCGAGGGTAAACTTGTAATAAGTGTGGGTGAGTGTGCATGTCTTCCAACCCCCACTTCTTTCTCCCTTTTACTTACCCGCTTTGATGGTTAGTAATAGGACATGTTTAATTTAGCATACCTTATGCTATGCATGCGTGGATCCATACATTTGTCTTGCTTGCACCGGGCTCGGTACATCATGCTAACTGCATTTGTACTTCAATTCCAAATTGAATACGTGCATCAATTGATTGCATTTCACATCCCATGTTTAGGTTAGCCGAGTCTACTCTAATTGCACCCTGTATGTGTTGCATTAGTCAGTTTGACATAAACTAGGACCATGCATTGTTTACTAACG